CCCCAAAACCCAAAACCCCAAAACCCCAAAACCCCAAAACCCCTCTGTGCTTCACCTTGATTGAATTATCATTAATTACTCAGCCCTTTTGTCATGAATAATCTACCTTCTCCCTTATGAAGTGTGTCTCCTTTGAAATGCTTTCTTCTCAAATAGTTGCTCTTTTCAAGGACAGATTGAGCTTTATTCTTTAAAGTCTTAAACTGAGTCATCCTTGAGAAAGAAGCCATATTTTGGTTGTTTTGAGACATCTTAAAGGTGCTTTTAGTCTGGTAAAAATCTTCCTTCTGCTTATCAACCGACTCCCTATCAAAGATACTGGAAGTTCTTCCTTGAGGAGAGAGGGATTTCACAAACTTTTTATGTCCAAACATATTTATGCTTTCTCTCTTTGCACCATGAGTCGCTGGAGCCTTCTCTATTTCAACGACTGAGTCATCAGTTTCGATCTCAAAATCTTCATAAGTTCTTTGTAACTTATCGTTATAAGATTTTCTAGGATTTCTTGGCTTATCAACACTTGCGTACCTCTCATTTGGCCTTTCAAATCTAGTTTGAGGGGAGAATTCAGCGTGGCTTTTATGCAGATCGAATTTTGGGTAAAGAAATTTCTCCCTCATATCCTCTTCCCTCCTCATTTCCTTTGCTGCATCATCTTGCAATCAGCTATTATAGTTCAGATAAATATCGTAAGCAGCTTTGAAATGAGTTTTTGTAAAGATATCAGGTTTTTCTTTCGGCTTTAAAAACGGTTTAGCATTCTTGATACTATGATCAAGCCTATTCTTGAATTTCTTTTTGAACTTCTTCAACTTATGATCAAACTCAGTCTTGTCCACTCTCTGTATATTTTTATATTTCTTATGGGTCATACTGTCATAAATATTCTCAATATTTCCTCTAAGAGAGTACCTCAAGGGAGGGACGATTTCCTTACTCTTATCTTGTGGCCTCAGTCTGAGTGCATTCTCCTTCGGAGGGTCGACATCAAGGTTATTTAGCCTTTCTTTTTCATCAATCCTCTGTCTCTCAGTTCTGAGCGAGTACAGCATAGATTCGTTGCCCATGAACTTGTTCTTCTTCCTGCCTGCTTCATCTTCTCTCAGCTTAGTCAAGTATGCATCTGGCTGTTTCATAGGGACTTTTTCCAAAATATTTACGAAATCAGTGACTCTTTTCTTATATTGCTCTACCATCCTATCTCTCTCCTTCACACGGTGCCTTTTGAGAAGCTTCATGCTCTGGGAGTAATTCATTTTCTTCTCTTCATGCTTCGCGTCCTTCTCGAACTGGTAAAGATTATACATTATTTTTATTTATGATTTTAGATGGGGTTTTGGGGTTTTGGGGTTTTGGGGTTTTGGGG